GGTCAACTTCCAGTTCATTGCATGCCACGACTCCCTCCTTCCCCGCAGAGCAGCGTGAAATTGATAAACAGATTTCGGAATGGTTAGAGAAACAAAGGATATGCCTTTATCCAATTTTGCAGCAATTCCACTAAACACGCTTTCGCTTTGTAGATCCTTTGGCAGCTCCAGAATCGGAAATTCTTTTTGACATAATCGAAAGTTCAAGCTTATTTTTTATAAAATTGCTCTAACAGTCTGCAAAAAATAATAAGCCAGATCCAATTTGAAGATTAAGGAACAACGCGATCTGCAACATTAACTGAAATAGATAATTAGATAATTTTAGCTTAGCTTATACCATCCGTTAAACATTCAACGTGCATGTGTAAACGTGTTATACGCATGCGTAAAGGTATTATGTGCATGCATAAATGCATTATGCGTTTACGTATATACTATAAAGTAATTTTAAACTGAAATCCAAACTTAAACGTAGAATTACCTTTCAAGACTTCCAATTAGTAATTTTAAACACCCAAATTGCAACACCAAGAAAGACAAGAAATATCACAACAAAATTTATTTAGTAGATAACATGTTGATCAAGTATCAAATGATTAAATTTATAGACTTCTGTGAAGTGTGGTTCCTTCCAGAATCAGTAGCCATAGTAGCCGCCATTGTTGGAGATCACCGTTGTCACACGCCTCGGCATTGATTCAAAGACACTTTGGATGTGTTCTTGGGGTACAGCAGACCAAGCAGCTTCCACACAATGCCAAAGTTGATCTGGTGTGGCAGCTTGGGATGTAATCTGGGTCAATCGTTCAGCAACCATGGATCACATGTTTTCTATCGGTGAAAGACATGGACAGTGAGCCAGCCAGGGAAGCAATTCAATTCTTCATCAATCTACCCATGGACAATGTGTGCCACATGTGGTTGCGCATTATCCTGTTAAAATATGGCTGTGGGCAAGCCCTGAAGGTAAGGAAGGACAACTAGCTCCAACACCTCAGAGATACAGCGCTGGCTGTTTAAAGTATCTGCAATGCATAGAGGAGTGCGAAAGTGATATCCAATACCGCCCATACTATAATACACCGTGCAGGATGAGTGTGACGGTGCATAAAGCAACTGTTCAGCATCCTCTCTCCACGGTGTCTCCAGACTCGAATCCGACCATCGTGGTGTTGCAGACAGAAGCGTGATTCGTCAGTAAAGACAACTTCATTCCATTCTGCCGTCCACATCCTTCTTTCATCGCACCATTGGCGGCAGGGATGTCTGTGGTTCTGCATCAAGGGTAGGTGAAACAATGGACTCTTGCGGACAGACCACTCTGCTGTAAATAGCGTCGAATGGTACGCGCAGACACTGGATGATGCGTTACAGACTGAATGTGCTGTGCTATGGTTCGTGATTTGATTGAGCGATCCGCTACTCCCATGCGCACAATGCTCCTGTCATCACGTGAAGTGGTCCATTGAGGTGGATGCAATCGAACACGTCGGTCTGTCGTACCCTCCTGCATCCAATGGTCACACATCCACATTACAGTTGTTTGGTTTTGTCAACACGACTACCGATTTCCCTGAAAGATAATCCACACTCTCGGTAGGCCACTATCCTTCCTCTGTCAAACTCAGATACTTGATCAAACGATGATCGCTGTTTACTACAAGGCATAATTGATTGCTTTTTTTTGAAAAAAAAAACCACAAGAACACAATTGCCAAACTTGAAATCATCGAAAACTCCAAGCCTTATATAGCGGTTTGAAATGGCGCCACAGGCGCGCGTGATGTGTGTCTGCGCTGAAATTCTAATCATTTGCATTTCTCACCTCCGCTAATGCATGTTGTAAATTTCATGTTATTTGCATGCTTCCATCAGCATGTAGCATTTATGGTGGGCAGCAGTGTATATCGATGTATACATGAACAAAGGGAGTGCGCAATGACAAGTTTGTGCAATTTTCGGATGTTTTTTTAAGTGAAATAGGTCAATATGTACATGGATAAAGTCAAGAGAGTGTGTGTTGCCTAGTTTGTGCAATTCTTTGACTTGTTATTTTGTCTTTGTGTAGCAATGGTTTTTGGCACTAAAATCACCACTACGCAAATCCAAAATATGCAATATTATCAACTATTAAATAATTAGTTTATGCATGCTTCTATTTATAGTCTTTTGTGAAAAAATAATTTCATCTTTAGATCTAATATTCTTTATGAAATAGTCACAATATATTCATTAGTAACCAATGATTAGGAATTTTATCAATACATATGATAGAAAATAAACACATTTAATTAATATTTTAAATACAAAATTGTTAAAAACATCAACTATAAATATTTTTCATTGATTGTTAGGAAGCTTATGAAATCACTGTTTAATTTAAAACTTCTTATTACACATAAATTTTAATGTTCTATTTCAATCAATGCCAACTTGTTGTGTAAAGTGTTTTATTCACAGTTCATAAGTACCTGATTTTGCTTATTTTGAAGATATTTCATTAATTTATGATTTGCAGTTGGGGGGGGGAGACACATATAGTACCCTTCCCTACAGAGGCATAGCTAGTATAGGGCTTTCAGCGCCCAAGGACAACTAACAATTTTGTGCCCCTTTCTATGTTTCCACAATGGAAAACAGTTCATTCTAAAATTTTTAGCATCAGTTTGGCGCCCCTTGAATATTGTGCCTCGAAACAGTTGTCTCCCCTTGCCCTAGCTACGCCACTGCTTCCCTATAACTCATGGTCCTTGGAGGAGAGTCAATAGTACGAGGTTCCTATATAATTTCCCTAATTTGATTTACATAACTCTATTACCAAAACTATAATAAAAATACCATGCAAGTTAGTGCTTAGAAGTCTATCAAAATATGGGCATACAGGTACAGGTCCTTCTTCATTATGAGCAAAAAAACATGCAAGACTAGAAAGCAATGATCATATTTATACACTACAGCAGTAAAGTGAATGAGAAAGCAGCATCATCTGTTGACAAAAATAATGAAAATTGAGAAATTTAGTTACCAGAATTTTAAAAGCAGTTAGAAGGACTGGAATGGACTTACAGTTATTAACTAAGCAAAATAAATCTTTGTGAATGTGAAAAGCTTCAAGAAAATGCAATCCACCAATGGAAGAAGTGTTTCAGATAATTTTTGAAAATCTAAATTTGTGATTAAATTTCAAACTATGACTAGCTATCGAAGAACTGTTAATTTTGCCTTTTCAGACATAAGATTTATGCTCCTTGATACGAAACCTTAATGCTTTTTAAGTTTACCCGATATATCTCAAATCACATTGACACAATATGCTATAAATTCTCAAAGAACTAAGGTCAGAAATTGAATCTAAGAATCAAACCATGAATTTTAGCAATAAAATCCATGGTTTGATTCTTAAATTCAATTACTTATCTATGGTTCCATTATTTTATGAATAAAATTCATGGTTCGATGCTTAAATATTGCAGTATTGCAAATTTCTTTGCTCCTGATGAAGAGGGACGTGTACCTGTTTGCCCTCAAAATCAAATGAATTGACTAAATCTATGCCAAACACAAGGTTGTTGCTTTGCTAATTTTATGTTTCACTTTGGTATGTTTCTTTTCTGTTTTCAAGTCTATTATTTGACGATATTCATACAGTTCTCTTGATTGATCTACATTCTTTTCAACAAAAATAACATTGTTGCATTTCTTGCGCGGGTTTGTGTGATTTTGAGAGATTAACGACGGCACCTGATGAAGTATTTACTCAGGATAGCTCCAAAATCATGTTACAGTCATTGAAAAACAACTATAAACATGTTAAAACAATCAGCAACACAGCCTTCAGGCTATAACGGTGAAGACAGCTTCATGGAAAAGCCCCAAAGTACAGCCCGACTCGGTTTGGTCATTCTCGGAACTATACGTACTCCAGCCTTCACGCTATAACAGTGAGAACAGCTTCATGGCAAAGCACCAGAGTACAACTCCCAACTCTCCATGCTACAATTTGCGATACACTCATTAGACTCCAATGATCAACTCGAGACTAGACTGAGGATCAACTCGCTACACGAGGCACTGGCTGACTGACTCACTATATTTTACTTTAGCCAAATTTTATTACGACCATATTTAATAATTTGCTGATTTTACACATTCATATTTTCAGTTTAAAACACTAAACTACCACTTTTCAATTTATGGAAATTAGTATTAAAACTGCTCTGAAATGCATTTGTTTAAAAATTACAGATATAACTAAAACGGGGAAAGTACAGAATCGCCCACTGCTTGGCGCGTTTTTAAGAATTGCAAATACTCAGTGCCCATGTACACATCAACCTATTTTCACTTAAAGAAACATCCCAGAATTGCACAAAAATGACATTGCGCAGACTCTTGACTTTATCCATATACACTTCGACCTATTTTCACTTAAAAAGTCAAAGAAAATTGACGAAAATCCAATTCTTCTTACTCTTGTATGGAAGAGGCACACGTTATAAACTGATTAAATTAACACATAATGATCAAACCTACTACCTAGCTCTTTTGTTTACAAAACTCTATTTTTAATATATAGATATTATCAAATGAAAATACCAGTCTCTGAAATTGAAGAAAATTGATTTATTCCAGTCTTACTTTATATTCTTTAGCAATAGTTTCTTAAACATAAATTAAAAAAAAAAAAGTCTAAACTAGTAAAGCTGAATAAAGGGGGAAAAAAATTGAAGATCAAGTGTAATTACTGAAAACAAATAATCAAATCCGTAGATTCTTGCTAAATGAAAATTTAGCTATGAACAAGTAAGAATAACAGGATGTCAGTTGAAGAATTCCCAGGTATTCTATACCGTGCTTACATTTCTAGGAAAACAAAATATAGGTCAACCGTAAACATTTGATAACACTATATACAAAATTTCAATGCTTATCATCAAGTACTTTAATAGAAAAACTATGGGTTAAAAATTAAGGTTATGTCTAAAACCAATAATTACCTTTTGTTAGATCAAAACATCATTTCAACATTAAAGAAAGTCTGCTTCTTAAAAAAAACCATGGAAATAAAGTGTTATCAAAACAGGTATGTCAAAAGGTAAAATTTCCGTTATTATTATCAGTAACGTAAACATAAAATTATAAAAAGTGGAAGTTCCACAAACTAGGAAGAAATAATCCACTGAACGAAAGCAAGATAACGTCTTGGGAAAAACCCAAACATTGGAAATCACTTTTCAGCTCGTTACGGTTAGGATCGTACTCATAAATTCAATTTTAAAGTTGGAAACGTAAGTCAAAATTTCATTCATTACATTAAAATAAATAGTTATCGGCATTTTAATAACTAGCTTATGAGTCTCGTAGATTAATAATATAACAAGAACCAATATAACACGAGCCAATTCATTTGAGAGAGGAATGAATGACTTTTATTGTCATATATTTCCATTTAGGCTCCTCTATTTACTGATGAATAGCCTCTTATTTGAAAATATTGAAATTATGAGGCTAAGTAAGGAAAATATTACTTTTCAAACTAGTTTTAAATTGAGCTTCTTAACCACGGAGTAAAATTTTCACTATCGTCTATTAAAAAAATTATTAAACATTTCAACTAACAACTATCTAACAATCCGCGATTCAATTCAAAGGAAGAAAGATCATTAAACATTTCAAAGTTTTGAGTAACATCAAAGAACAGAGATAAATGGGTGTACCAGTTACATTGCTCACATAGCTTTGTTCTGATTGTCTAAATATTAGGACAAAGATTTCTCTAAGAATTCTAAAATAAAAGCTTTCAGATAATAATTTTGGGTAGAAAATTATATTATTGAATTAAGTAGCATACATTCATTTTTTTTTTTATAAAAATAGGCTTCTTCTTCCCTTTTTAATCATTGCCTTTTATTTGTAACTTCTAGTTCTTGTTTTGTTTTCTCTTATTGTGAAACCTTTTTTTTTTTTTGTCTTAATACATGATAAATTCACTGAAAATGCTTGTTGAAGTAAGTAAATTACATGCAATAAATAAGAATAATTATTATGGATTTTTTACTGAATTATTTTTTACAACCGGAAGTAAAAAATTATCTAGATCAGAATTTATATCCTACTGGTGGCGTACCGAATTTTTCGAGGTCTTCATGCTTTCCTGTTCGCTGTTTTGCTTGCAGTTCAGTACTGTTTCTTTGAGTGACGTGTAAATGTAATGAGTGATGGATGTAACTTATATGTCATTTTTAAATTCTATTTACTTTCTTACATTCTGCTTTTTATGTGTTAGTTCTGATGATACAAATCTTGGTAAATGTGCTGATCCTTTATGTTCAGGTATAATTCGTGCAAAATTGATATACCAAAAAATATGTTGTGTGTTTGAATTGTAGATTTGAAACTTATGTTGTCGGCCTGCTTTTATTTAATTCAAATTCATTATTAATTATATGTTAAATGCAGATATTTAAGTGCAATGATCAGACTTAAATAATCAGCATATTTAAAATTGGAGAAATACTAGAACTTTTATTTTTAGAAAAGGCTGCTTCAGTTGAAATAGTATATGTATTTGAACTGAAACATTCATTCATGTAAACTTATTTTCATGTTGTTAGTAAACATTGTTCTTTATATTATTTTGCAGTTTAGGTATGAGTTCTTTAAATCATTGAATATGGCAGTATGCAGTAAATTGAAAATTTATTTTTTAAAATTCTATAGCTATTTAAAAAATATAAACAGATGATCAAAATGTTATGTATCATTAAAAATGTATTATAATATATTAAATTTTGTCAATAAAATATCTCGAAACTGAATTGCAGGAAGTTAAAATTTCTTTCTGGAATTAGGTTTTTCTTATTGAAATTAAGTTTAAATTCATTTTATTTTATCATAAGCTATTTAACATGAACTATTTATTTGTTGCATTTGATAGAACATATTTGAATAAGAAAATGCAATAAAATGGAACTTTTTCTCCCCTTTCCAAAACATTTATTCTAGCCAGTGTACTGATATATACAGTGGCTCCCAAAAGTATTCATACACTTATGATTTTATTGAAATAGGGCTCTATCCATTAACTAAAAGTAAGCTTTCTGAATGAGATTTTAATAATAAGATCTATAATCTATTTGTAACAGAATTACATGAAATATTTTTAAAATATAGCAAAACTTTATTTTTAAGAAATTAATAATAAAAATATGACAAACATTTGATCTCATAAAAGTCTTCATACACTTAAAAAGATCTTGACATATTAGTAAATATTTTCATTTTTCGTTAAATTAATATTTTTTAGGACATCCTTTATCATCCACAACAGCTTTTAAACATCTGGGAATAGATTTTACTAGTTTTTTTTTTTTTTTTTTTTTTGTAATTTCTGTATCAATATTCATCCATTCTTCCGTCATGACTGTTTTGAGTTCACTTTTCATTTTGATGTCGTGTTTTCGCACTCTAACTTCCGGTTCTTTCCAAGTGGGTCAAACGGGACACTCAAATATGAATATTTCACAAATATTCTGATAATAAACCTGTCATCACGTTTAGTTAATTTTCTCAGTCAACCTTTCCTTGTTTTCAATCTGATTTTCTTCTTTAAACCTCCAGTCATCTCCAGTGTTCTATGAGGTTTAAATCTGGTGACTGAGGTGGTGTTTTCAAAACCTGTGGATAATTACAGAGACACCACAGGCAAATGTTGAGAGCCATATGCTTAGGATCGTTATCATGATTAAAAATAAAGTTGTTTTCAAATACCCAAACTTTGGGCTGATAATTTTAAATTGTATCTTAAAATATTTGAATAAAGAGAATGATTCATTATACCATCAATAAATATCAAATTAATTTAGTCCTGATGCTGCCATGCACCTCCACACAAAAACACTTCCACTGCCATGTTTAACTGTTCCAAATAAGTTCTTAGAGTGAAGTTCCTAATTTTTTCTTCTCCATACAGTTATTCGACTATCGAAACCAAAAGTGTTAAATTTGCTTTTGTCAGCAAATAGGACATTATTCCAGTATGTTTCAGGTGTATTTGTCATTGATTTTGTGAATGAAAGCCTAAGCTTTCTGTTTTTCTCAATAACAAAAAATTGTTTACTGCAGAATGTCCATGTAATCCAGCTGCTCTGAGAACTCACCGAACAGTTCAGGTGATATTGAAGTAAAAAACTTTGCATTAAATTCTGCACAAACTTTTACAGCACTCAAATGTGGGTTTTTCACAAATTTTCTAATAATAAATCTCTCATCACGTTTACTTAACTTTTTCAGTCGACCTTTTCTTACCTTGTTTTCAATCTGATTTTCTTCTTTAAAGCGTTTTATCTCATACTGCGCTGTAGAATGAGATAAATGAATTAATTTAGCGATATTTCGAATTGATTTACCATTGCTAAAAATCATCTAATCTACCATTGAAAAATTATCAATTTTCGAATGTTGTTTGTAATTTCTTTACGACTGTGATTTTTCAATAATGAATAGAATATTATGAAGTAAACAATAAAAAATTAAAGCAAACAATTTTTTAAATGCCACTGCAGTGCAAAAATTAAGAAAAGCGGCAAACGATAATTCTAATTTTGATTTTATCCAAAAATATTTGAGTGTATGAAGACTTTTGTGAGATAAAATGTTTGTAAATTTTTTATTATTAATTTCTTAAAAATGAAGTTTCACTATACAGTCAAAAGTCATTAATTCGGACACCCATAATCCGGACCTCAAAGCTACAAACTTTCTGCGCATGCGCACAAGCGTTTACGAGAGCACGTAAGACCTTTACGGCTGCGAATATGTTTGTGCGCATGTGCGTTTAATGTCTAACGGAGTTATACGCTAAGCTAAAATTATCTAATTCAGTTAATGTTGCAGATTGTGTTGTTCCTTAATCTTCAAATTGGATCCGGCTTATTATTTTTTGCAGACTGTTAGAGCAATTTCATAAAAGTAAGCTTGAACTTTCGATTATGTCAAATAGAATTTCCGATATATATTTACTAATATGTAATTTGTATCTACAAAGTGAGAGTATGTTTTGAAATCCGAAATCTGTTTATCAATTTCACGCCGCGGATTGGAAGTTGATCTGTCAGCACTATCCTTATCTTCAGGGCAGATGTTTTTATTTTATTTGGCTTATAATTCCTTACTAAGTGTAGTATTTCATCTTGATGTACTCGGTCTTTGATATGATTTAAATCAAGTTCCTCGTCATTATAATTCGCTTCCAATAGTGAAGAAAGTGACCCAGAGGTTATTGAAAATGAAAACATTTCGATTGACAAATTAGCCGGTATTCTCAATGCAGCAATTATAGGACTTGAACAGCGGAACTTTGTAACTAAACAAGAAATTATGTCTGTTTAGTAGAATTAAAGAGAAAGTATTATAACATGAAACGAAGCAACTTACATTGAAGGAAATGTTTAATAAAGTAAACAAATAAATATTAAGCTTTTTCTTTTTGTAAATTTTGATACCCTTTAGATCATAATTGTTCTTTATTTCATAAATTACGGTTTCATATTTTTAATTTTGTAATTTCTGCATGCCATCTTACCAGATTTAAACTGATGACCTATAATCCAGAAAAATCGATAATCTGGAATCGCCGAAGTCCCGACGAGTCCGGATTAACGACTTTTGACTGTATTTAAAAAATACTTCATGCAGTTTTGTTATGAATAGATTATAGATCTTATTATTAAAATCTATTCAGAACGATTACTTTTAATTAATGGATAGAGCCCTATTTAAATGAAAATTGTAAGTGTACGAACACTTTTGGGAGCCACTGTATTTTAGCATTTTATTATCTGCTGTTTATAATCGTATTTTAATTAATTTGATATAAATTCTTAATAATGCTAACTGCATTGTATTTTAAAACAGATTACTGATTTATTTAATTTTTATTAATTTGAAAAAGATGTATCACTTGTAGTACATGCAACATGTAATTATAGTAAAGCCAGTGTAAAGCACATAATATCTTTCATTAAGTTTTAAAGGTAAAATTTTACCATTAAATTAACAGAACTACTGCACATTGCCTACATGTGCATATCTGTACTATTATTTGAAACGGAACAAACCAGCCTTGTTTTAATCTCTAGAAAATTTTAGAAATAAATTCATGTATATGACTTTAAATTGATCGAAGCTATTTTAAAAATAAAATTAATTTATTAATGTAAGAATTTGTCTTTTTAAAGCCCATTCTTAATTTAGTGGATAATATTGTCAAAAGCTCGTAGTTTGATTCGCAATAAATGGTCCAGATGTATGACATTTCGATAGATTTTCCCTTGTGTAATATATATAAAAGCTAACTTCCCATGAAAAAAAAAAAAAAAAAAAAACCTTCATAAAGGTACCCCTTACATATTTGATCATTATCGATTAAATAACAGCTACTCTGTGTAATCTTCCAGCATATATTTGGTTTGATTACATTTTTATAATGAAAGGGGTTACTAAATTGTTTTGGTGCTATTCCATTTTGAGGACCGTAAAAAAAAAAAATTGCAGTGAAATTGTATGTGCGAAAGCGCCAAATCTAGCAAATACACCTATTGATAGAGCGCCAGATCTAGTGTACGTGCTGATTTCAAATTGCGTAAGTTTAGATAGTTCTATGTTACTTAAAACGCCATTGAAATACTAGTTAAATTTTTAAATCCTTTTTTGATAACACTATGAATTTAACAATTTGGGAATTGCCCAATGACGGAAAAACTAAGATAGAATTTTTTCAAAGAAAAGGTATCATTCATTGTAGAAAATTATGTTTGATTCAATGAGATGAAATTCTGCTAAGCGATAACACGGTAGCAAAATAGCGATGCAGGAATTCATTCAGTTATGTTTAGCCTTTTTTTATATAAATTATAATAATGATTTGTAGCCTTTTTTATATAAATTATAAAATGATCTGAAATAGTTATTTAAGCTTATGCCTCCATTCAGATATTTTTTAGCTTTTATTATACAAATTATAACAATAAAAAAGTACAGTCAAAAGTCTGTAATCCGGACGTCCATAATCCGGAATGATCTATAATCCGGACGTCGCAGCGCGCAATGAACTGGAAGTTGATCTGTCAGCATTATCTTCAGGGCAGATGTTTTTATTTTTTTTTGGCTTATAAGTCCTTACTAAATCTAGTATTTCATCTCGATGTATTCCGTCGTTGATATGATTTAAATCAAATTCCTTGTCATTATAAATATCACAAATACACATCAAATAGTTTTCTGGTTGCAATTTTCTAATTTCGACTATGTGTAATGTATGCTCTATGCATGTG